AACTTGAAAAAAACCTTAATAAAGGTGAAAACATAAATTAAAACGTTAGTACGATAAAAATACAGAAATTAAAAAAAGTTTCAATAAATGGATCATAAGCTAACTATAGACTCGAACTCATAATTTCCACCACAACGAAAATGTACAAACGACTTACAGTCTGACTCTCTAAAATCCCCACTGGAGTCGTCAAGCTGTCATAACCATTTTTTTTAAAAACAATTATGACATTATTTTGAAAACAAATTGGAGATTTTGAATTAATTTGGATGGGAGTCGCCATCGACCTTTGGGTTAGGAAGGTCGAATAACTAAAAACGTATTTTAAAACAATTTTAAGAAAATTCATTTTTTAAGACAAAAGTTGGTATGCGTTTACCAAAAATTCGATTTAACTGTTCCGGGAGTCAGTTACACATGGGGAAGGATTAAAACCCCCACAACGCCCAAAATTGGTACCTAGTCGCTTATATATTGTCGCAAATGCTGGAAATTATAAATCGAATATAAAGTTAAAATATGATCTATTTATTAAAGTTTAATTAATTTGCCTCGAATTATTTATTAGGGAAAATCCTTTAATTCAAAAAGAAATATCGAGAATTGCTCATCCTCCGACGGGAAGGTTCTCTTCTTATTCCTTGTCTAAAAAGAATATTTCCTCCTTGATAAAAAATGTGAATCGAATATAGATTGAAAATCGACATTTGCATACAATAAAATAAATTACTAGCTAGAGAAACATGCATTGTATTATATGACTTAAAATAAAAAATGAATTAATTAGCAAAATAAACTATATTTATTTCAATTTCACATTTTGTTCGAACGCCGTATCGGATAACACTACTTCGATCAAGTAATGCTTTTCACGCCTATTCTACAAATTGTTGTTCTTGAAAATATTCGAATAAATAACATTTAACAAATTCTTAAATGAATAAGCATTGAAAAAGGTACATATATATACAATGGAAGAATAAATATGTAGACATAAACGTATAAATATTTAATATGACATAGCATGCGTAGAAATAGTTACAGCAAAAAAAAAGTTACATGCTAAATTAAAGACTAATATATGACAAACAAACAATATAGGATCAAAACACGTGAATACCAAAAATATAGAGGGCTAATCAGAAAATAATCTGAGTTTTCAGGCATTGATAGTGATCAAATTGCACATAGACAAAAATTCGAGGAAATGAAAAGACAAATACACTGATTTTTAATAATATTATAAACAGGGGACTAAAATATAAACATGGAAAAACGAGAGTCAAGAACAAAAAATATAATCAAATTTCATATATGGTTGCATCACGTACAAAACAGAATGAAATAAAAATTACAGACCCTATTATGTAATAATTACCAGAATTAAAACTTAATATAGTTAAAATAGCAGGGTCTAAACTGGAAATAAAATCAAAGTTAACAGCAAGTCAAAGTTAGTGACCAAAATGCATACATAATCAAGCATGAGACTTCAAAGCATGAATTACACGATTGTAAATATTTGTACGTATTAAGGACTAAAATAAAAAGAACCAGAAATTCGAAAGGGTAAATAAGAATTATACTTAAGAGTATCAATATACAAAGCAATGACTGAAATGAAAGATATGAAAATATTATAACTAGAGTCAAACACGAACGAAAATGGCATAATGCATATGATGGTGACTTAAATATAAACATGGAAAGATAAAGGCTCAAAATAATGTAAAGCTTAATTCCATGGCCAAATAGCGAGATTAAAAAGACAAAGGGACCTAAACCGTGATTATCCCACGCGCTAAAATGCAAACCCACCCTTATCGACACTACATCGTTTTGCAGATGATATATATGTTTCAAACATAGCCAAAAAACGACCATCCCCTCATTTTTACCTATTCCTCTCTTTCTGTTTTGGAGAGAATCCAAACTCTCCCTAAACTCCCCTCTCCCATTGAGGGAGATGAACTATCGAGACCCTCCAGCCATCGTAGATCGATGGTTCCGAAGAGAAAACCAAGCCCGAAAATATCCTATTCTTTCTTTAATAGCCTTTCAAACACCCAAAATCCACCCCTATTTGAAACCCTAGAAATAAAAAATCTAAGGGAAAAGGAAATGGTTTTACCTCCAGTGGTGGTTTTTTGGTTCCGATGAGGCTATCAATAGTTTTTCCTTTTGATTCTCTTCTTTTTCTTTGTTCGAAGTTCTCTCCTTTTTTTGAGTCTGAATCCCCTTTTTTCTTCGGTTCTCTCTATTTTTTCTCCGAATGCTTCTCTCTCCTTTTGAATGGTGGTTGCTTATATGTTATATTTGATTGATTTTGGGTGAGATAATGAGATCTCTGAGTAGGGGCATGGCCTCTCTGATTTGCTAGGTGAAATCCATGATTTTCGGGATTTAGGATTTTTAAAATAGGGTTTTGATTGATTTAGTAGTTGGTTCACTGTTTGGCCATATTTTATGACAACAGCGGCTCGGGAACTCTCCGAGATGGTTCACGCGATAGGGAAGTTGAAGAGTCGGACGCGTGCACTACACGCGTCGGTTGATTGGATGGTCCACATCCACTGGCGGCTGCGGTTGGCTGTGGGATTAGGGTGAAAACCCTACCATCGAGGTAATTTGGACGGTTGGATGGGTCCATATCTAACGGCTTGCATTGGAGGCGACGCTGGGCAGAAGTGAAGAAACCCTAGCAGGTTTGGGTTATCAAGTTGGGCCTGATACTAGGCCTGAACCGGGTCCGATCTTGGGTCGGGTTAGTTTGTGGGTCTGCTTGTATTTTGGGTTCCATTTGGGCTTGAATTTTGTAACCTGTGATGAAAAAAATAATATTAATACTAAAAATAGTAATAACAATAATAATAATAATAATAATAATAATAATAATATAGTGATAATAATTATTTGTAATGAACGATTAAAACCCGGACAAAAACGGATGTCTACAACAGTAGATTAGAGCTTATTGATTACTAATCATTATAAATCAAAAGAGCAAAAACTTACAGAAAATTCTTCTCACTTGAGTTTTGTTGTTCATCTTGTTGACATCAGCAGCAGCCTTCTTTCTTTTCCTAAACAGTAATGATGTGAAAATTATAGCTAGTTTCTCTGATGCGACTTTGAAGTGGTTCTTAGGGTCCGTTTTGTTTTACTGAAAATGTTTTTCGGAAAATGTTTTCCGTAAAATGAATTACATTTTCTAGAAAACGTTTTACGATATTTGGAAGATGTTGTTGAAACCCTTTTTCACTAGTTGATGATTTTTTTTAAAAATTATTTATTACATATATTAAATGCAATAAATAATATTATTTATCATAAAAATTAATATTATTATTTTAAAATATTAAAATAATTTATCTATTATTAAAATATTATTTTTATTATATTAATATTTTTAAAATATTAAAAATATTAATTAGAATATTTTAAATATTTTTATTAAAATGTTATTTGATTATTATATTAATATTAAATCTATAAATAATATTATTCATTATTAATAATTTAATAATATTACTTCTATGAAATTAATAAATAATATAAATTTTATTAATAATTTATTATATATTATTAAAATAAAAATATAATATCTTATATTATTATAATATAATTGATTATTTTATTATAATATTAAAAATATTATATTATAAGAAATATTAATAAATATATTTTAAATATTTTAATAATTAATATTTTGATTAAATTGATATTAAAATATTTTATTAATATTAAATTCATAAAATAAAATTATTTTGAGCATTTATTCTTTGAAGTAAAAAGTTCGGAAAATGACTTACAGAAAACCAGACCGTAAGTCATTTTCCAGAAAATAAAAAGAAAATTTTAGTTACCAAGAAAATGTTTTACGTTGACCAACTATTTTTCCTCCAACCAAACACTGAAAAATGAGGAAAACATTTTCCGGAAAATAATTTACATGAAACAAACGGACCTTAGTTGTTTGAGTTTTTTTAAGTTGATCATGGAGAGAACTGGGATCTTGTTGGATCATGCTTGGATGCAGAGTTTTCTTCATTTTTGGAGATTAATGGCTCTTTCTCCTGAGTCATTTTGACTTTAGTCCGTTGCCAAAAAGGTAGATGCTAAAAGGTATCTTCAATGCCTCCTTGCCCTTGTCTTCTCCAGGATATATTGACTTCATTTTATGCCAATGGCGACCAATTCAACCAGATAAAACTCGGTTCCTTGTTGAACCCGCCAGCAATGCAGGAAAGTTGGCTAAGGTCTACAAACATCATTGCTTAACTAGAATGCTCACAGTACTACAGCCCAGGCCCAATACACAATGCAGATGCCCTCATTTGTTGAAGCAGTTGCTTTCATTTTAGTTAATAGGTCAAACGTTGAGTGCTATCTAATACAATTTGACAAATGCAATTATTTATTATGTGTAAATAACTCGGTGACTCCATTTCTTTGCTATAGCCGAGTATGACAGCTCCACTAACACAGACCAGTTGCACTACGGTCTCAATCAGAGATTTAAATAGCACAGACCAGTTGCATTTCGGCCTCAATCAGAGATTTAAATTTATAATAGTACCCTCTATTGTCGCAGTCATGATTAACACATAAAACCGAAAATATGATCATAACCATAACCGTTATTTCATAACTACGATACCTACAATGATTATAATAATATCCTCTATTACCGCAATCATGATTAACAATACAACCGAAAATACGATTACAACCATAATTTAAATAATGGTCCAACGAAGCACGAAGAAGTCAATGCAGTGTCACCGCATGCGGAAGAATATGAAAAGCAGACTAAAAGATGCGTAACTTCAACAATTATAAGCAGAGAACAACATAAAAGATCTTAACGTCACTGTAGACAAGCGAATCCTGATTTTAACATATTCAGGGTCAGTTCGTAGTCGACTTGATTAAAAGTTTCCCAAATTGAACAAGGATCGAATGGGAGGAAAAACAGAAATGTCTGAGAAAAGTGATTGCATTTCTTGTGAATGGTTAGCCAATTCTGCAATAATTCTCACCATACTAACAATATGAAGATACTGTTCCATTGTTTCCATTGGTGCATTATTAGAAAAACACATGCTTAGTGCAACAAAGATGACAATAGGATGTGCCTTTTTTTATCTATAAAACATGGATAAACAGAATCATACATGGTTTTACAACACAGAATCTTACTGGTAACAACTTTAAGCACCATTACAGTATACTCCCACCAATAGAGTTCGAGTTTCTCAGCCTACTTCCAGATTGGCTTCTCCTGTAACTCCTCAATGGAGTCAAGTAGAACCGCAATAGGCCATTGTCAAGGTTGTTAGGGGAATACCTCACACTCCTATTCCACTGCAACATGTGATTATCCCTTCTCTTCAGACAATCACCTTTAGCATCAGTCACACTCATCCTATATAAAGATGATCCTTCAACTGAATTCCGAGCACTAACACTATAACTCCGCAGAAGCTTATCCCTTACAACATTCCCGTTTTCAACTCCACTGGCCATTCTTCTTAACTTCTTCAAGGACTCTACTAGTGTTCCATCAGCCACATTTCCTCCTATAGCTTTACCTTCATCTCCACTGGCAAGCCTCCTAAGCTTTTGCAGTGAATTCACAATACCTCTGTCTTCATCTCCATTAACAACCCTTTGAAGCTTCTGCACCGACTCCGCTAGCCTCCCATTCCCTGCATCTCCTCCAAAATTCCTATCTTTATTTCCAAATTCACTTTGTTTTCGCCTCGGTATCAAACCCCAGATGCTCCAAACATTTCTCCAGCTCCTTGCCTTCTTCAAATTAAAGGCTTTTTGACCAACACCTCCATTAGCAAAAAGTCCAACATCCTTAGGACCAGATTCCACATTAGAATACCAATTGGAATACCTCAGTTCCTTCTCGGTAACCAACAGTTTTGCCCCATGAAATAGCCCAACAGTCTCGGGTGACACTTTAGCATTAGAAATGGAAGACTTAAAATCATCAGCCTCCCCTAAACTTGTCTTCCTATTTGAAAATGAACGGTCAAAACTTCTCCTCCTCCTAGTCAAAGAATCCGCATAATAATCTCTCGTTTGAGCTGACCCACCAGGGCTACTCCTTTCCTCCTCTTTTACAACACTCAATCTCTCTTCCCCAACACTGGGTTCCTCGTTAACCTCTGGGTTATGTTTCCCAATCAAGCAGCCATCCCAAGAAGCCCTTGGCTCATCAATGGAAAACCTTGAATCGTCAACAGATAAACGGGAAAAATCAACTGATAATCTAGGATCAGAATCACAAGATCTTCTGCCGGGCAACCCATATTCCCCGATCTCCGATTGGGTATCTCTTAATCCCCTTTCGTTTGCCTTCTCAAGAACCAATCCCTTATTTTTCTCCTTATTACTCTGTTTTTTCCTCCATTTCCTCAACTTCTTGCTAAAAACGGAAGCTGCTTCCCATAAGGATTTCCCCGAGGCCTTTTTCCTTCCACATTCGAGATCTATGAATTCCTTCATCGTTTTTAACTCTCCTTCTTCGTTACCCCCTTTCAAGCCTTGAAAAGCATCAACATTCGATGGAGGCAGGTTTACATTGAGGGTTTTTATTTTGTTGCCGACGGAGAAAAGATTGTGGAGAGTATTACGAGCTCTTACGTCACAAGATTTACGGCGGGGCTCGGAGGCCGCAGAGGAGGATGGGACATGGCCGCCGGAACAGGATTTAGAGCGGCGGAGCTGTGAGGTTGAGGAAGTCGAGGAAGTTGGGGTTGTGGTAGCAGAGTCGTTTTGGATGCCCGCGAGGCGTTCCCGGAGGCATGACGCACAGAAGCCTGTAACCGGTATGGTAGCTGGGTGGCGGTTGCAGGTATACAGAGAACGGTTCTGACGCCGGTGAGGGTAGGCCTGCAAAGCCATGGGTAGACGAGAGGCAATGCTGAGAGAGTCCAACAAGAAGAAAATAAAAGACGGGACTGAACTGAAGGATAGTATGTGAGAGAAAATATTAAAAATATATATATGAAAAACCCTGGTTAACCCCTTTTATTTTGGGTTTTATTATTGTCTAATTGTAATAGGAAGTAAGTTCTTGTTCCAAAATGTCTGTCATGTGCTTTAACATCAGTTACTATTATTATAATGTGAATATTAATCGTTAAATGGTTAAGAATATTTAAAATAGATAATATTTTATAATTATTTTAATTTAATAAAAATTAAAGAGTAAATTATGTGTTTAGTTGTCTAATTATTTGTATAGTTCAATTTTTATCATTCAACTACTTTTTCAATTATATTTAAATTTATGTTTTTTTTCCGTTTTAATCATTTGTTGTTAAAAACTAACGGTCAGATAACATGAAATATGTTAAATAAGTATCTTGCTATATGAGATAACATGAACATCATTGATCACTCAATCAATTAATAAATATTTGTTTATTAAATAATATTGATTTCGATTATATGTTAATTTGTCTTCTACTCCCATAAATATTATTTTTTTTGTTTTGCTTTATTAATAGTATAGATGATTACAAGTTAGTATCTATTTAGAATTTTTTTAATTATTAATAAGTATACACATTTTATATATGTACCTGTGGAGCAGTCTCAAACATGTTCGAGGTCTTGAGAAAGACTAAGAAATAAGTCATTATATAACGAAAGTATATTTTATTACTATAAAAATTAATTTAATATTACATTAATAAATCGTAAAATATTGATTATGATCATCAATTATAAAAGTAAAAAAGTGATATTGAAAAAATTAGGGGAACAATTACAAAATTTTAAAAGTGAGATTAAAGAAAATTAAGTACATTAATTATAAAGGTAGAAAGTGAGACTGAAAACGTTAAGGGCCTCAATTATAAAAAAAATATTATATTAAAAAAATTAGAGACATCAGTTATATAGGTAAAAAATGAGATTAAAAAAATTAAGGGTCACAATTACAAAGGTAAACAAATTAAATTAAAAAAATTAAATATCTCAATTATAAAAATAAAAGAATATAATTAAAAAAATATGAGCTGTATAAATGGGGACTAAGTAGGGTGCTCCCCTGTTAGTCAGTTTTGTATAATAACTTGAATCTGATATCTTTAAGAAAAACATCACTTTAACAATAATATTACTCTTTTTTATCATTGAAATTATTTGGTAGGTTGTCAAATAATATTATTTATTATCTTTTTCTTTCAAAATCCAATACTTTTAAATAATGATTTTTGCAGTCATATATATATAAAATCAAGAATTGGCCTTAAAAATATTAGTCCGAATATAATGATATGACAGCAAGTTGTTTTTAGTACATTAAATTTAAATGCTAATTAAAATGGTATTCATGACATAAAATCAATTTTCATTTTGATTGATTTTGTTGGTAAGTAGACAAAATAATAGACCTTTAATAAAGAAAGCAAACAAATAATTCAAAAAAGATAACGCTATACTCCAAGTTTATATGTTTGCATTAAATGTCTAAAAGTAATCTAAACCCAACCCTCATTATAACATCACTTGCAACAATCAACAAAAGAAAATAACCTCGTTCACTTTTTATTATTTTTTTCTCGAAAAGTTATATAATACCCTAACAATAGTTTATTACATAGATAGGATGAAATCAAATAAAACATGGAAAATAATTTTACGGTAAACTACACATTTAGTATTCCAGCTATCACTTTGTTTCTGTCATGGCCACTCAAGTATTTTTAATTATGATTTTTTGATGATGACTTGATATTATTTGATGGTGATATGTCAGTATCATCATTAATTTTTTTATTGGTAGGTGACCAAAATTAAAAATTAGATATGATTTTTTTTAAATAGTTGAATGATCAAAATGAAACAAAAATGATAATTAGGGTACTAAACGTAAAATTTACCCAAACTTCATAACTTTAAATTTTCATGCCTTTGCTACACTCAAATAAGTCATCAATAGAATAAATCATGAAAATAAACCACATTTTCATTTTAAATGCCAATTACTTACTCAAATACAAAATAAAAAATATACAGTTACTCTATTAGAATAATATTATGTTAGATAAGAGTATAATTTGTTATTCATGTTTGAGTATATTTAATACATGAATTTATAATAAATTAATTTAATTTTATAAATTTTAACCGCTTACATGGTTTGATTTAAATAAGACAAATGAATAAATATTATTTATTTTAAATATGTATTATTTTATTTGAAATTATAATTAACTTTTTAATATCAAATATAGATTTATATTATTCTTTTTTATATTTTAACAAACTAATTTTTAGATAAGTGTATGCTAATATTTATCAAAAACTGAAAAAGAATAAATACAATCTTAGACGAATGAGTTTATAACGTACGTCACACACTAAAATACACTACTAATGTAACATACCGACGAATGCCATTGTAACACCCTCAACTCATATCCGACCCGGATACGAGTCCAGGATGTCACATTGACTAAACAAAACAATACTTAAGAAAACCTATAAAACATTCGAACTTATTTTATTAAAATAAGATAATATACATATATTAATACAAGTTTATCAAAATACTCAGAGCATACACAACTTAACCCTTTAGTTACATGCCAACATCCATTTTCATAACTAAATGACCTACTGATTAAGTTGCTTCTGATCTGATAGTTGCAGGAGTAATGTTGTCCAGCTGCTTAACCTCGATCGTCTACTTTATCGGATCCTACGTGTGAAACACTCACACGCTAAGTCATCGACTTAGTGAGGCAATATAATAATATCAGTAAAATATAAAGGAATTGCCAAAATAAGATGGGTTGCAATGATAAGATGTATGTAAACAATGCAATAACCATAACCATGTTTCTTACACATATACTTATCAAATTCACATTCATAAGTTCACCTTATTAAGTTCATTAGCCCATGGTACCATACTAAGAACCTAAGGTATGTGAGTATTGTGAGGTTGTGCACTATGCTGTCACCACAGCTCGTATAATTGCACCGAAGTGCCACATAGAATTGCACTGGAGTGCCACGTAGAATTGCACCATAGTGCCATATAATAATGTCCATAAGGACCACATATCATTCCTTAAGAATCATATACATATACTAAGGATCAAGTATGTGTCTCACAAGACTTCACACATGTTCCAAAGAATATATATATATCCCGAACGACCGCGTAGACCCTCTACCCTTGGCATGCCAACTATGCCTATAGTTCACATCTACATAACATGGGCTTTCACAATTCACATAATTTGTATCACGTAGAAATATTATTTTCATACCTTTATCACATAGACATATCATTTCCATACCTTTATCACATAACTCATATAACTTTTTCCTGCATATTCATGTCACATAATGCATATGGTATGAATTCATGTCATGTATCATAATATTGAATCTAGACTTATCACAAGTCTAGAACTGAATAGAATACATATTAATGCTATGCATATGCACTCACCTAGATTTCTTTGTCTTTCCCTCGATTGATCCTACTTGTCGATTGTTCCAGAACTCGTTTAGGCTCGATATCTACATAGTAATTCATTGATACTTATCAGTATACTAATTAGTATATTCGAAACTATCATTTCTTAGGCTAAAAGAAAAGCCATTTTTATCTTTTAATGGAGGTATGAATCGATGCACTACACCATGCATCGATGCATAAATCCTATTCGATGTTTGTATTTAACGGGGTGCATCGATGCACTCCTTATGCATCGATGCATCGATGGAAATCGATGTTTTCTTTTTAAATTAATGCATCGATGCACTTCATGTGCATCGATGCACCTTATACAATTTATGGGATTTATCATTGATGCATCGGTGCACAATAAATGTGCATCGATGCACATTGCCCAGAATTATCATTTTAGCACGAAAATCTCTTCTTAGTCTACTTAACACTTTATATTTCCCCTTTTTTATATCCTTAACTTGCATACTCTTACTTAAACTAATTATTATCCATTCCATACTTTAAAAACTTAGAAATCCAATTCTCCATGTAGAGTTTAAGAATCTAACCCAAATTCCAACATGTTCTAATTTGAATTCTAACACTTCATACTTCTTAGTTAGCTTTATGACAAGTCAAATCCCACTTCTAATTCTTATTAAGAGCTCAAATCCAAGATTTCACTTTTCTATTTCCTTTCTTTGATTCTTCATATACTCCTCATCTTATGGTTTTAAGATAATCTAAGCTTTCCTTAAGCTTAGTTATTATCAAAGGATCAATAAGAAACCTTAAATTCATCAAGAATTTGATCAATAAGAAAACTTACCTTTAGCTTTGTCTTCACGGCAGAGAGAAGAAGAATGAAGAAGAAAGAAATATCCAGAACCTTATTTCTCTCATTAGCTTTCCACATGGTTTATTAAATATCCTTAAGAAACCTTTAATTATTTTCCTTGTCAAAAGACTCATTTGCCCCTTTAGTTCCCCATGTTTTGCTAATTGATCGTACACCAAATATTTCAATCAATTTCTTCAACTTTCAATTTATCAACTTTAATCACTAAATTTTAAAATTTCACAATTTAATCACTAACTTAGTATGGAGGATGTTACGAATCTCCCTCCCTTAAGAAAATTTGTCCTCTATTTTTTATTGTACGAACATATGGGGATACTGAAGTAGCATATCTTCTTCATGTTCCCACGTGACTTCTTCTACCTTGTGATTTCTCCAAAGAACCTTAACCAACGGAACTGTCTTACTCATTAACTGTTTGACTTCATAAGCCAATATTCTCACTGGTTCTTCTTCATATGTTAAATCCGATTGGACTTCTACTTGTTATGGTGCAACGATGTGAGAGGGATCGGACCTATATCTTCGTAACATGGACACATGGAAGACGTTATGGATCTTCTCCATTTCTGGTGGCAAGGATAACTGATATGCCACGGGTCCTATCCTCTTAACA